CATTTTAGGGCAGTATCGGGGCCCCGTCCGATAGGATCGACTGAAGCGTGTGTGAGCTGTGATTGACACTCCATCAGACGCTCTTCTGGCTGTGATTGGTTGTTTTGACTCGTCCCGAATTATTCTTTCCAGATTGAAATACAGGCAGTAGGCGGGACCAATTGAAGCAGTTTTTTTCACAGGTTACATATCACATGTACTGCTGTCTGGGCATAGGGACAGTTTAGCCAATATGACAAAAAAGTGATTTTTAAAAACTTACAGACCTCAGCTTTAATATACATTCCCCTTTACATATTTTTGACTTAATTTAAGTTAAAATTACTGTTTTCTATAAAATCTGAATTAGAACTCAAGAAAAACTGATACACTCAGCTGTAAAAATTTAAGTAAAAAAAAACATTTAGCAGATGAAAACTAGGATGCTATCTCAATACCACTGAAGAGATCACCTTATTGTTTTTAAAGTCGTAGGAAAGTCGTATTTAAATGTCAAATCATTCTGGCTTAAATATTTATATAAATGTATTGTTTATCAGATCATATTGTCCCAAAATGTTGAAAATTTCTATAAAAAAAAAAAACTTGTCTTAAAATCTGTGGGTTTGTTTTTTCTCGTTATCTTCTGCAGGCCAGTTAGTTCTACGTCAGCCTGAACACCTATTTCAGCCAATCGTAAATCAACGATCATCTGTCAATCACATTTTTTTGGTCATAGCATCTTGATTCATATGTTGCAGCTAATATACGCAACGGTTGAAATAAGAAATAAGAATCATTTCCTTTCCCATTAAACCGTCCCGAGGTTCCCAATGGAATTTCCCGTTGGGAATCTGCTAGCACTAAGTTGCTATAAAGATGCTTCCCACAAACCGGCAACAACCAGACTGCAAACCTTCACCACAACAATCCCGCCCCCTTGATAATCGACCAATCACATTCACTTTATTCACTCGTGTAAAGTCGGGCGCCACTCGGGAGAAATCGGAAATGCAACGGTTGGAACGGCCGCGACTATGACTTTAAATAATTAGTAAAAAAGAATTTGTAAAGA